TTGAGAAAACTGTACCATACACAGTCAAATATCCAGTTCATGTACCAGTCGATAAGCCATACCCAGTTCATGTGCCAAAACCATACCCAGTTCCAGTCGATAAACCTATTCCATACACTGTTGAAAAGACCGTCCCATACCCAGTCAGTGTACCTGTAAAGGTACCAGTCCCACATCCATACCCAGTACCAATTCCAAAACCAGTCCCATACACTGTTCAAAGCAAGTCCCATACCCAGTCAAGGTACCAGTCATCGTACACAAGCATATTCCAATCTACGTTAAAGGACATGATAGTGGACTTGGGAGGTGAGGAGTTGGTGGAGAGAATTGGAGGCGGATTCGTGGAGGACATGGTATGGACACCACTAGAAACAATGACTGCTATTTTTAAAATTGTCAACATTTTGTAATAATTGTACCAAAAATTGTATACCAAATTTTCAATTGTATTAAATGTAAACAAGAACAAATACCTTTCTTTCTTTCAACTACCTATTTATAGTCAATAAATATTTCAAAGAAAAGTCAATATAGTTTCATTAATTTAGATATAATTTTCATATTTACATATTATCTTCTATTTAGAAATCAGCAAAACTAAAATATTACTAGCTATTTGTAATGTAAATAACTATGGTTATATAACTATAGACTGTTTATATGAAATTAGAGAAAAATAAATAATCATTATTTGCGTAATTAACATGATCTAACCGTGAAATAAATTAAATGATAATACTGAATTAATCACTATCATTATTTATATATTATTGTCAATATTAATAATTTTCATTTACTTTATCTTCTCAAAATATTGTAAGGTGCAAAGTATTTCATAATAATATTGAATGATTTATAATACACGATTATCAAATAAGTTCAGACATAATAATCGATATGTTAACATTTCATTTCTTACACTTAACATATTCTTCATTACAAACATTATTATTTAAATTTCTGAGTAGTAAAGAAGGAATTGATAAATTATAAATAAAAATCAATGGAAGATTGGTTGCAAATTTTTAAGCCTAATTTAATAAAACTTCATTTCATTTAGAATTACTATTGTCGATTATTAACAAAAAGGGGATTTATGTATTAATATTATTAATAGGGTAGAAAGACCTATGGTTAATAGCCCTTTGAAGCAGTTGCCTTTTTATGATTTATAATATTTATATTATTGTATTAAGTTTTTTTAACTTTGTAGTTTTACTGTTTCAATAAATATTATTATTATTATTAATAACATATTTGTTATAATTGCGTTCTTAGAAAAGTGTAGATACTAAAGTTATTGATATTGTATAATTATATTAAAACTTAATATATTGATATTATTATATCAATCACGTAGAATAATTCACATTTTTGGAAGGTGAAGAGTGTGCGTTCCTTTTGCAACGCAGAAGTACGGATGAGTAATCAGCGTCAGTTGAGTTCATATAAATAATTCATGTTAGTGGGGATTTCACATTGAGTATAAATAGTAACCATATCTTCCCAGAAGTTAACAGTCATTGTTCAATCTCATCATCATTATCATGAAGTTTCAAGTAATATGTGTTTTATAGGATTAAAATAATAAATAATAACATTATCTTTTAGCTTTGGGTAGTCGCAGTACTTTCGGCCTTAGTTCTCGTTCAAGCGAGCGAGAAGAAGGCTGATGGGAAAACCTTAGTCGACAAAAAAGAAAAGAGAGGATTATCGGATTTGGGCTATGGAGGAGGAAGTTTTGGAGGACATGATTTGGGTGGCGATATTGGTGGAGATTTAGGACATGGATTTGGTGGAGATTTGGGACATGGTTTAGGAGGACAACTTGGAGGTGATTTAGGACATGGATTAGGCGGAGGACTTGGTTCAGGTGGATTTGGTGGAGGAGAAGGAGGGTTTGGAGGAAGCATTCAAACTCAAGGACATGTTAAGCACATCACCATTGGTACTGGGTATGGATGTGGGACTGGTACCTTTACAGGTACACTGACTGGGTATGGGACGGTCTTTTCAACAGTGTATGGAATAGGTTTATCGACTGGAACTGGGTATGGTTTTGGCACATGAACTGGGTATGGCTTATCGACTGGTACATGAACTGGATATTTGACTGTGTATGGTACAGTCTTCTCAACTGGATATGGAACTGGATGTGGTACTGGATAAGGTGTTTCCTTGTGGAT